GGGACGCATGGCTCACGCAACACGTCTGCCTCCGTAAGAAAGTTCTAATGCCCCCCCCCCCCCCCCCCCCCTCGTCAGAATTCTTGCTGGAGGAGTTGAAGGTCCTCTGCGAGCACTCAGCACGCAAGATCGTGTCTGTGGCGAACGTTGCCAAGATGCTGCTTGCGGCGGAGCGTTACCAAGCCGAAACTCTCAAGTCTTCTTGCCTCGCGTATGTGCAGAAGAATATGCCTGAGGTGAGCCAGTCTACTGCTGTACCAACGCCACCGTGCGATCAGGGGGCGGAGCGAGCGGGCGAGCGAGCGGGCGCTCTCTCGCCGAGAAGCATGCTAGATGCCATGCTAGATGTACCGTCTTGTGATGTCTTTGTTTTGAGTTGTGGGGTGGTCGTTGCCTTCTTTGTGTACTGCCGCTCGCTCGGTGTTGCAACGCTTGCACGCTACAGCGCTCGTGTTCGGTACCGCATCATTCCTGCCGTTGCCGCCCCGCGTTTCCGTATCACAATGGGGGTATCTTCGTAGATGATGATGATACAATGTCTTTTCGTGTCAGGTGTGACACCCGACAGCAGTGCTATTGGTAGCCGCAGTTGGGGGGAGCGCATTTTAGTTAGGTCCCTGCACTGCTCGTCTCGTGTGTTGACGTTTTTTGTTGACGCTACGTTTGATTTACTCTCTTTGTTCTGTGGTATCGTATGTGTATGTTCCGCTATCGCGTCAAGGTCTGCCGATACCCGGCATTTGAGGCGGAAGTGTCGGCCAATCCAAAGCTCTCCATGTTCATCTTGCAGGGCATGGTGAGTTTACTGCACGCGTTTTTTTTTTTTTTTTTTGGTTTTCTTGGCATCTCCAACTCTTTCAGAGGTTCGATGCCGCGCACTCATGATCGTAGACTAGCCTGTGACGTCTGTTCCCATCTCTGCATCTTTTTACCCGTGGTGTGGTACAGCGAAGTTTGCGTTGAACATTTTGCAGCCTCGTTGGGTTGGTGGTGGGTACGACAGATAGGCCCAAGGAGAGCCTGACGTTTTCATCTCTTCGTGTCTTTCTCACTTTCGCCGCAGTCGCGGCTGTGTCACATGTTTTGCGCCCGCTATCGCCATGATACAATGCATTTTGTTTGATTGTAAGGTAACTCTGTCGTTGTTCCTAAGTACTAGCACATTGTGGATGCGTGGTAGCTCGGTGTCGTTGTAAAGTACTGCAGTACAAGCGAAGAAGGGAATCTGGGCGATGTGTCTGGTGATGCAGGGTTCCACTTCTGGCGACGGACGCACGCCCAACGTGATTCTCGGACCTCTTTGCGTTTGTCTTTTATCCTTGTGTGGAGTTCCTCCCACCTCGTTGCTTACCTGAAAAAAGGAAGAGATAAAAGGTGGGAGAGATGAACAGGCTCCTTGTCCATGTGCTGCGTTGAGATCCGCTGGTTTCGATATGCATTATGTGCAGTGCGAAGATCTCCTTCCTATGCGCTTACTGCTATCTCTGCCACAAAGAAAGAGCATACCGTATTATGTATGTACCACCACGACACACTTCAGTGAAGTATGGTGAGTTGGGCATAGCGCGTGTTTCCCAGAAGGGTGGTGTTGTGATAAAGATGCTGCATGCTTGCGACATGGCGTCGACTTGATTTTGTCCTCGTGGCAACACGTCGCTGTTGCGTGTTGCAACGCGGCGCAGACATGTTGCCACATGCCATTGTTCCTGATTTTTTTCTTCCTCGTGACAAGCAACACGTCCGTCCGTCCGTCCCTGTTGGCTTACGCATCGCTACCCAGGCGGACGCACGAGAGGAAGCGTCGGGAGGTGGGGTAAAGAAGGCCACCGCGATGCCGCGCGCCAAGCGTCGTCGCGTGGGCTCTTCCGGCGGTATGGGGGCACGGGGGCGAGATGGCGCAGAGGTCCCTAGTGGTCGCCTCTGATGGCGGGGGAAAATGGGTAACGTGGGTGGCTCATTCCGGCGGGATTTCGACGGCGGCGGCGATGGAGTCCTGTTCCCGATGGAGGAGGCGTTTGCGTTCCCGGGGATGGGGAGTTCCCAACCCCCCCTCCCCTCCCCCCCC